TTTTACGTCTTTACGGTTTTACGTCTTTACGGTTTTACGTCTTTACGGTTTTACGTCTTTACGGTTTTACGTCTTTACGGTTTTACGTCTTTACGGTTTTACGTCTTTACGGTTTACCAATTTGTATTATTAAATTTAACATTAAAAATGAAGGAAAAAGGATGATAATATTCAAGAAGTTCTACTTAATTCTGAGGAAATTTAAAAAGTGTGCATTCTTTTTAATCATTGCTTATAAAATGCATTAAATGCAAGTAATTACTGGTATTGATTTTGTCAAAACAATCTTAAAAAATATACGTTACATACTAAACAAGTTTTTGATAGTTAAATCAAAATGGTACTATTTTTGGAACAGTCTTGCGAAAATCAAAAACATTTCTCCCACCGTTTTTTATGTAGCTCCAAGTAGAAAGAGAAACCCGTTTTTTAGAAAAAACTTGAAAAATGAACTCAATTTGGCTGTATGTGACATTTCTAGGATGCTTTTTTGAAAAGGAGTGTGTAACCAAGAAAGAAAAAGGCGCCATACTCAAAATATGGCTTTGCAGTAAACGCCGCCTACCCGAAAGAATGAGCATTATAAAACTTCGTATTTATGCACAATCGTATATATAATAAATAAGTAAATATAATCTTTTGAATTGCCGGCACCTTAAGATGCAGTTGTCCAACGTTGCGACTGAATTCACCATCGAGAATAAGCTAAACAGAATTCTACTGTCTAATTTTGGAAACTAGCACAAATTTTTACACTTACATCGTCTTCTGTAATGGATATTTAACATAATGGGCATTTTGCACCTGTTGTAGAACTGAAAAGAACAACTAATACAATAAGGAGACTAAGCACCTTCTAATGCTATCTTTAGTAGAAAAGGATCACTGGTGCTGACATTATTTCTTCTCTTGCTTTATCACTTTTACAGTCTAGTTGTTTTAGATTGTCCAAAAATTACATAAATATTTGCAAACTTTTGAGACCGGACAACGCAGAAAAGCAATATTAGGCAAACTAGATTGTAAAATGGAAAGTCATCCATTCAACGGAATCAAGTATAAAGACTATGTCAAGAGGGCGAGCCTCCATCGCCCTATATGTGCCCTCAAAGTATGTCAGTTTGAAGAGGACACCTGATTACATATATCGTTCCGCTTTTTCGATGAACTGATAACTATTCACAGCGTTATTAATTAATTAAGTTTAAATTTTAATTAAAATTTCGATTTCGATGGTGTAATAAATAGTTCATTATATTTTATTGGATTGTCCGATCAACGCCGTGGCAGAATTATTATGTAGACAATTGTTGGTTGTATATAATAAGCTTTAAAAAGTTTGAAAATTTGTCCTACAAAACATAGGTTTTTTAAGTGAAACATTGTAAAAAGAGTGTTTCTTCCACTTTTAAACATCAAAAGTAATTTGAAAACCTTGCCACCGACTGCACGAGAACAAAGAATTTCCGAGAAAATTTTTCCCTAGCAAAGTTGTAGCTGATGCCATTTTGAATGAAATAAGCGGAAGAGAATTCCAAAACAAAATTTCGAACAGAAGTTGAATGAAAATTAAATGGTATTTAATTTTAAAATTTTTCAACTAATAATTTTTCAAACTTTTTATCGGTAGAAAAGAATATCTGTTCCGTTTATTCCACGTCGAATTTCAGAAGAAACAACTTTTGTTCCTACAGTTTTTATGAGCTATGCTTTGCGTAGTCAGAATCCGTGGCAAGATTTTGGGGCGCGTATCCCTCCAACAAGGCCTTCCGAAAGCCCCAGCAATTATTATCATAATCAATAAATTTTAATTGTAACATGGTGTGAGATAGTCCAAAGTGGTCTCTAGAATCCTGCACAAGGCCGACTACTCCATTTGTTGTGCTTCTCGCAGACATTTATCCGACGAAACGACAACGAATTATGAGTGACTCTGGAAAATGACTGCCATCGAGAACCATAATGGATAGAGAGGTCAGCCTTGCGCAGAATTGTAGACACCACTGTGCGCTATCTAGACACTATGTTACAATTAAAAATCTACCGTAGATTCAGCATCTGGCAACCACATCGCTTTTCATCAGTCAGGTGCACCACATGAAAAACCGAGATTTTTGGTGCACAATACATGGGAAGATAAAGTAAAGCCTTCTTTACAAAATGCTGAAAATCCGAACTCTCCATTTATTTTCATTCTCGACTTATTCAAAAAGTATCCATGGTAGCTCTATACAGAAATCCATAGTAGAAAAACCGTTTACCTAAAACTGAGTACGGATAACTGTTCATCAGTAACATTTTGAAAAGGCAATACAGGAATTCGTTGCGCTTGGAAATCTCTCACGAATGACGTATTACTTTACCGTTTTCAATAAACTATTAGTTTGAACGCCGTTCGGATTCACATTTATTCTTTTGAATTCGTTCCGAATGATAAAGCCTTTGATTGACACATTATCTGGTTCAGACGCGAACAGTATCAACATAAAAACACTAACAGACGTGTAGAAGTTTTTCAGCACATTTTTCGATAGAGTATTACCAACAATGCCCACGAATTTAGGCCTATTCAGGAACCGGACGACCCATTTTCGTTGATTAATCGTGCAGTTTATCATCCACTGCTAAATACTTCCACTATAGAACATTCAGCTGACACGCGTCAGTTTCGTTGAAACATAGGTTCTTTGATGTACATTAGTACAAATCCACAAGATCCTCCAGTCGATAAAGAAAATCCGGATTGAGATTAGGTCTGTTATAATAAATTTTATCTGTTAAGCTCAAATTTGTACAAATCAACGTTCACATTGAAAAGTGATATTTACTGTTTTTTACAACGAAGAGCAATTTCTGAAAATCTGTCCGAACAGATAAAATTTAGAAAATTAAATTTGCTCGAGACTCAAATCTCAAAAATGTTTCTTTGACGCAGAAAACATCAACCTCTAAAATACCATCTCGATGATTTCATTACTTATCGACTACTACATGTGTGCCTGGTAGTTTAGTTGATTAAAACGTCATGTACTTCTAATTTCAATTCGGATAGTGCATTAGTCACCGAGTTCGATCCTCTTTAGGCACAGATTTCTTTTTACTTATTTGTTAACCTAGACTAACCGGACGCTCCGACCACCCAGTTGACCGGGAGCTCAGACCTCTCGGTTAACCAAGTTGACAACCTCCCTCTTATAAAGGAAGGGGGTTCGATTCCCAGTTCTCTTTCTCTCCACCAATACTATTATAATCTCTCTTCTCTATATAATCCTTTTGTTCTAGAGTGTTTATGTAGAATCCGGCATAGAATGGGATATCCCGAATTGCCGTATAAGTGTTGTTTTTTTCTTGTTGTTGTATTTTTTTTCTTTTACTATTATTTCGTGAATAAAAGGACAGTTTAAAAAAAAAGAAAAAATTAATTTTTTCATTACGCAGTTAACAAGCTACACTTAAATTATTAAATGTCAGTTTCCGTTGGTCTTGTGAGTCCTGTATATATTATGTTGTGAGCCAGGGATCGAGGTTGTGTGAAAATCTGAAGAATACGGGTAGCGGATATCTGCATGTTTTATTTGGGAGTTGATATTTGAGTAAGTATGCTGTCGGTTCTCTTGATTATATTTTTTAACGATTATACACGTTGAATTTATCTTTGTGTTCTCGAAGTAAACAATAAAGGTAGATAACGACGACAATGATGTGTATGTGAGTGAGTGTTTGTGCCATTCGAAAAGTAGTGAAAAGAGAGGAAATGGGCGCATCACATCCTACACCAGCTATAATAACTGGTGATCAAGCATTTGTTACTGGTAGCACAGTAGAAAAGCAACAATATGTTCGACATTTTGCAAATGAAATAATTCAAGATATTGATATTATGATTGTCGAAGGTTATATCGAATCATTCGAAACATTAATACCAACAACTGCACCTGGTTTCGTACAAGTAAAATTCGATGGTGTTCAAAGATTACGTAAAGAAGCAGTATTAGAAGCAAAAGAAAACATACGTGGAGTAGCGTGCTTAAATGGTTTAAAAATTAAAGAAAAACATGCAAAAAATGAAGAGTGCGATGCCCCACCATTCTCGACTGCAAAAATCCATAGCACAACGGAGGTAGGAAAAGCAAGTGTAGCCCTAGTATCTCATGTAGATATTTACCATTCCGATCAACAATTTCGACAAATATTAAATACTATCAAATGGCAACAGCAACCGGAACAGGAACCCTATTTTCAACAGATAAAACAAAAATATAAAGACTGTTGTCTACAATTTATGCCATTTCTTAAACAATTTCTTGAACTACTCAATACATCATTATTTCAATCGCTCATGATTCCATCTGAGATAGCAGCAGCCTCTAAGATAATCGCTTTAACTGGTCCAGCGTATAATCATCGTTTACATAAATCGCATCAACAACAAATTCGATCATTATTAGATTTCTATGATAAACATAAACAACTTGCGACACCAAAAATCTACAAAGCTTTTAGTCAACATGGGAATTATGCTTTCCCTACACTCGGTGACAACGTTCCATGTTTACAGTTGAGATTTTGGCCCGATGATATTAAACCATTTCTAGAACGATTTCGACAACAACGACCTTTTCTCTACGAGAAAATCATTCCTTCAACATCAATGCATATTATCGCAAAATGGTCAGACAAAACGCTACCAGAATCTGATAAAGATTTAGAATTTCGGTATTCATTTTCAGCTTTAGAACGTCTGCTGGCTGAAAATCGAACACGTAACGAAGAAGTGCTGAATGGAATTGCAAGGTCTGTTTACTATAAGTACGTATAATACACAGGCTCAGAAAAGTATGATTGAAAGAATAGCACGGTAAATCGTATTATCTTGCTTATAATTAAATAAAACAGGTATGACCGAAGAAAGTAATTCTACATAGGCTATAAACGGTATCATTCTCATCTGTGAGTTTAAGCCTGCTTAGCGAAATAATTCTACTGATAGCTCGAGCAGCCTAGAACACTCTTAGTTCTATCGAGATAAAGTTTTTCCTAAATGGAAAAATGAACTTCAAAGAGTGAAACGCTTCGTCAAGTACATAAAATAGGAATCGGCCGAGAAAAAATATTCGTGGAATCCAAACAAATGAACAGTAGATACTCATTATACATTCCCCAACAAAAATGGATATCCAGAAGTCATCTCTGAAATCTCATTAGCAACAAGTTGGTTGAGAGTTACGTTTCATGATAGATCCACTTCTCTAATGATTGTACAAGTGAAAGCTGAGCCAAACTTTTACATTCGGAACGAGAAAAATGATCAAGAGGTTCGACTCTGAACTCATTTTCATATCTCGTTTACTCTTGATTGTGAAGAGTACTTAACACATACTATTTCTGATTGATAATGGCAGCACTTTTACAGAACAATGTTGCATTATTATCTGCAGCTATATCGAGCATTTTTGTGTTTTTGTTCTTTTATTTGATTAAACTTAAGTTTGCAAGTCAAACGATTTATCGTCAAAAGACAAAAATCAATATTGCTGCAAATGATAAACAACGTAACACAGACTATTTTTGACTTTTCTCAGAAGTTATATACAGGTCTCTTTTTATTGTTTCAGAAATCTTCATTTCGTAAAATTTTATATTTCTGGAAACAAAACACCCTGATAGAAATGAAAAGTTGAGAACATAGAAAACAGGAAGTAAAAACGTATGCATCGGACGAGCAGCTTATGCTAGAAATGGTCGTGTTGCACTGATAAATCAAACTTTTTTCCAAAAATGCGTAGCTTCCCATAATATTGAATGTATTTTATTACGGCCGACAGTAGATTCAACGAATTAAAGAAGTTTGTTTTCACTCAACTCTGCGTTACCGCCAGTTTCTGTTTTTTGTTATGACACCGGCTAAAAGTCGGTAACATAGCTAACATCTCACACTTCTGTCTCCGATCTACAACTCCGTATCATGTTAAAATCATTGAAAATATTCAAGGTTAACTTCTAATTAATTCTCATTATAGGTATTTCGTTGGAGATGCTTGCAAACCGGAAGATAATTCGGAACTACCAGTACTTATTCCATCTTATTTTATAAAGACAACAGTTTTATGGATGAGTGAAACAATGAATATAAGTGAAATCAATGAGCCAAGTCAATTAGCCAGATTATGGTTAGATTTTGCCTCTCACAAGCTACTTCAACGCTCATGTCCACATTATTTTATTGAAAAGTTAAATATCTTAGAACCCTATTCACATGAACAGTTGGATTGTGCGTATCAAATACTGAAAGCAGTAGATATAAATGAATCGACACCGTTGAAAATATTAAACCATCAACAACAATTAATCGAGCAAAATAATAAAGAGATTGAACAATTTTTTCGCCAAATTAAAGTCAGAGATTTCCGTGCCGTAGTAGAGGATTACACTCAATTAAAAAAGGAATGTTGTTGGATCGACGATGGCAAGGAAAATGATCTTCGAGAATGTTTATTTATTTTAAATCGTTTAGTTTATGTTGACGGTTGGGATAAACAAAACTGGACTTTATTTCGTCAATTATTTCTTGATCAAGATGAATCTAATTGGGATGCATCATTGTTTGGTGAAGAAGGCATCAAAAAGCCCTCTGAACTTGCCGTACAATTAATGTTTCTTAGTAATCTATTAACGACGATCAATAACGGTATCTCGAATCCAACATTCAATGGTCAACCACATCAATATGATCAAATTGATGTAGATGGTTTTCGTAATGTGTGCACAGATTTACTTAAACCAGAAACTCATGAACACGCCATAATAACTTCACAAATACCGCCATTTTTACAATTACCATTTTCTGAAAATCAACCAGACGAAATGTCACCTCTTGCGCAACATAAAAATCGAACTGTACTAGAGTGTCATCCACATGGCCCGGGGACAGATCCACTAGATGATCACAAGCAATTCTTATCAGAATTGCAACAACGTGATATATTTTTACCACAATATCTAACCA